TTGAGTACTTTAAAGATGCTGCTTTCCTGATTTCTTGTTTGCAAATTTCTGATAAGAAAACTGTCCTCATTTTATCTTTGTTCCCTTGCCTAGTGATGTACCTTTTTTCTCTCTGCTTTTAAGGTTTTCACTTTACCACTGGTTTTAAGCAATTTAATTGTGATGTTCCTTGGTATAGTTTTCTCCATTTTTCTACTGAAGAGTTTGTTGGGCTTCTTGGATTTGCGCGTTTATAGTTTTTTATCAAGTTCAGGAAGTTTTCAGCTACTATTTCTTCAACTGTTTTTTTCTGTCTTCCCTGACCCCTCCTTGTTCCCATATTTCTTCTGTCCTTCAGGGACTTCAGTTATGTGTATGTTAAGCTCACTGATACTCTGTTTATATTTTCAGGCTTTTTATTCCCTCTGTATTTCATTTTGGAGAGTTTCTATTGCAATGGTTTCAGGTTCTTTAACCTTTTTTTCTTAATGCTTAATCTGCTGTTAGTCCCATAGAAGTGTAGGGTGTGTGTGTTAAAAATCTCAGACAATGTTGGGGCGCCTGGGTGGCTCAGTCGTTAAGCGTCTGCCTTCGGCTGGGGTTATGATCCCAGGGTCCTGGGATTGAGCTCTGCATTGGGCTCCCTGCTCTGTGGGAAGCCTGCTTCTCCCTCTCCCACTCCCCCTGCTTGTGTTCCCTCTCTTGCTGTGTCTCTCTCTGTCAAATAAATAAATAAAATCTTTTAAGAAAAATATCAGACAGTGTTTTTATGATTTCTAGGTATTTGCTTTTTAGGTCTTTTTAAAGATTTTCCATATCTCTACTTCCTTGGCCATATAGAATACAGTTATAATTGTTTTTTAATGTCCTAGTTTACTAATTCTATAATTTCTGTGACTCATTCAGTTGAATTTATTTGAGAGAGAGAGAGAGAGAGCACAAGCAGGGGGAGGGGGAGAGGGAGAGGGAGAAGCAGGCTCCCCACTGAGCAGCCGATCCCAGGCCCCCAGGATCATGATCCAAAAGCAGAAGCTTAATCGACTGAGCCACCCAGATGCCCTCTTTGAGTACTTTAAAGATGCTGCTTTCCTGATTTCTTGTTTGCAAATTTCTGATAAGAAAACTGTCCTCATTTTATCTTTGTTCCCTTGCCTAGTGATGTACCTTTTTTCTCTCTGCTTTTAAGGTTTTCACTTTACCACTGGTTTTAAGCAATTTAATTGTGATGTTCCTTGGTATAGTTTTCTCCATTTTTCTACTGAAGAGTTTGTTGGGCTTCTTGGATTTGCGCGTTTATAGTTTTTTATCAAGTTCAGGAAGTTTTCAGCTACTATTTCTTCAACTGTTTTTTTCTGTCTTCCCTGACCCCTCCTTGTTCCCATATTTCTTCTGTCCTTCAGGGACTTCAGTTATGTGTATGTTAAGCTCACTGATACTCTGTTTATATTTTCAGGCTTTTTATTCCCTCTGTATTTCATTTTGGAGAGTTTCTATTGCAATGGTTTCAGGTTCTTTAACCTTTTTTTCTTAATGCTTAATCTGCTGTTAGTCCCATAGAAGTGTAGGGTGTGTGTGTTAAAAATCTCAGACAATGTTGGGGCGCCTGGGTGGCTCAGTCGTTAAGCGTCTGCCTTCGGCTGGGGTTATGATCCCAGGGTCCTGGGATTGAGCTCTGCATTGGGCTCCCTGCTCTGTGGGAAGCCTGCTTCTCCCTCTCCCACTCCCCCTGCTTGTGTTCCCTCTCTTGCTGTGTCTCTCTCTGTCAAATAAATAAATAAAATCTTTTAAGAAAAATATCAGACAGTGTTTTTATGATTTCTAGGTATTTGCTTTTTAGGTCTTTTTAAAGATTTTCCATATCTCTACTTCCTTGGCCATATAGAATACAGTTATAATTGTTTTTTAATGTCCTAGTTTACTAATTCTATAATTTCTGTGACTCATTCAGTTGATTCATTTTTCTTTTTTTTAAACTTTATTTATTTATTTGAGAGAGAGAGAGAGAGAGCATGAGTGGGGTGAGGGGCAAAGGGAGAGGGATAAGCAGACACCCCGCTGAGCAGGGAGCCCGATGTGGGGATCAATCCCAGGACTCCGGGGACATGACCTGAGCCGAAGGTAGACGCTTAACCAACCGAACCACCTAGGTGCCCCTCTGTTACCCTTTCAATTGATTGATTTTTCTTCTTATATGGGCCATTTTTTTCCCTACGTTATTTTTGTATGTCTGATCATTTTTGATTGGATGCCAGACATTGTGAATTTTATCTTGTTGGGTGGTGGATATCTCTGATTTCCTATTAAGTACTGTTGTACTGGTTTTGGGATACTTTGTTCTTGGAAACGGTTTGGTCCTTTTGGTGCTGGCTTTTAAGATTTGTTCGGTAGGACCAGAGCAGCATTTACTCTATGGTTATTTTTACCCCACTACTGAAACAAGACCTATTGAGTCATGAATTATGAGGTTTCTGATCTGGGTGCCAGGATCAGGTCCTATTCCTGGTCCTATATAATCACTGGGTATCTTTCCACTCTGAGTTGTGGGAACAGGAACAACTTCCTGCCCTGTGCAAGCTTTGGTGATTGTTCTCACTCTCTTTCTAGGTGGCTCTTTCCCTGGCCATGGGTTGCTTCCTCACGCTCACATGCTAATCAGCTGAAGACTGGAACAAGGCCTTTTGTAGGTCTCCAGAGCTCCTCTTTCACTGTATAGTTTTCTTCTCTCCAGCACTCTACTCCCAGCTCCCACTGTTTTGGCTTTCCCAGTCTCCCAGTTCTATCTCCTCAACTCAGGGAGTCTGTCCAGCTCTTCCTTGATCCCCCTCTCTGCACTGCCACCTGACAGCTCTCTTAGGCAGTAAGCAGAGGCAGTCAGAGGCAACCACCTCATTCGTCTGCTCTCCCTATGGACCACTGTTCTGCATTGCTGCCTATTTATTTAATTAGTTTATTTAGTTGTTTTAGTAGGAGAGTAAATTCAGTCAATTTTGTTCCATCTTGGCTGGCTAGACTGGATTACTATAAATTATTATTGTTCTGTTGATAAAACAGATTGCTGTGTCAACTGTTTCCCCAGGAATTCTCATTATTGTAACCTGAAACACCTTGCACTGCAATCCACATCTCCTGCAAGTACAGTACATCCTTGTGTGATGGGTGTTACAGAAGAGTTGCCTACAAATAAACTCTGTGTAAGATCATCTGATTTTTCCCTCTGGCTTCCATTTTCATTCCTGCAATACTCTCTCTGCTTCATTTCTCATCACTTTCTCTTTAGCAATGACTTCAAACCCTGAGACTTTCCTTTGTTTTCTCCTCTCCTTGTTTTTGTTTTGTTTTGTTTTGTTTTTCTTTCTTTTTGGTCAGGGACCAACAATCTATACACAAAATGTCATGATGTTTTGGGATTAGAATTCATCACATTCTTGTCAGCACAGTCCTTTTGTACTCAGGTGTGTGCTTGGAGTAAAGGGGTGTGCAGGGTTGAATAAAGGCAGGGCCTTTGACTTCAAGCAGCTCTTTTTTTTTTTTTTTTAATGAATAGCTACTCCCACAGTTTTGGATTGTTTTAAAAGTAGGACACCTCTGCATTTTGAGATGGCCTTAGAAGTAGAAAGTTCAAGAAAAGGAATTCTTGTTTTTCTTCCTGCTCCTCAGCTTCAACAGTATTTATTGAGTGTTTACTACAATAGTGTTATTGTATTATCTGAGACTGAGACAAGTCACAGACATTGATGATGATTTCATACTGTTATGAAAGAATGACACATATTGATAAAGACCCAAGGTGTGGCACCACAGTAAATCTGTGAGATTTCACAGAAGGGTGTGATTACTGAGAGCTGGAGATAATAGGGAAGGCTTGGAGACCTAGTTCAGGAAAGAATTACAGGATTTAGGAAAACATGGCGTGAGCACAGTTAGGAGTATGGGAGGCCATGGCTTGACTAGGGACCACCAGAGAGGTTGGAGTAGGAGCTTCTACTGGAGAACAGTGGGGAAAGTAGAGGTCTATCTGTGGAGGCCTTATGTGCCAGGCTCAGGCATTTGACTGTAGTGAGCTCTGGATGGTTTTTGATGGGAGGACATGGAAGATGTGTTTCCATGAGAGGGTTAGGGTTAATGTGTGCAGAGTTGATGAGGATTGGCGGCAGAGGTGTGAGAGCAGGGACTATACTATGGCCTAATCATCTTTGTATTCCCATCTGCTGGATCACACTTCACGCTTGTTGCTAAGGTCCACGTAAAAGGTTATCCTTTGCTTTCCAAATTGCTAATATTCTTGAAAACCACCTGCTTTGTCAATGGCATGACAAATATTGTGAAAGAACTTCTTTGTGCCCCATGAAGAATTAAAGGCAGGCAAACTTGGACTCAGGCTCTTTCAAGCCTTGTTTCTCTCTTTCAGCTCATTTTATTCTATTGAGGAAAAGGTACTCAGCCACTGTTACAGAAATTACACAACAGGGTCATTCCCAATCCCCACCTCCCCCAACCCTAACAATTTCTGCATATTCTTACAAATCTCATAAGACAGACCACACATACACACGGGAACCAAACAACCCAAGCGAACAGTCCCAAAAGAGCCCGGGGCAGGCACAGACTTCCAGATGGGCAGAATTGACCCAAAGCAGCCTCAGGAGCACGTGCACGACCGCGTAGGCGCGCGCGCGCGCGCGCACAACACCCTCACGTGACTCAGCGTCTAGGCGGAGTACCCATTCGATTAGGCACTTACACTGCATTATTGGCCCCACTGGCCCCCTGGTGTGCACACTTTCTGCTCGGATCCGCACGCGGAGCCCGGGAGCCCCACCCCCCCCAGCCCTCGGCAGCCCCCCGCCCAGCCCGGGGCCGGCGGACTCGCCGAGGCTCCGCTCACTCTCGGGCGCCGGTTGCGTCATCGCGACGCGACCTTGCAGCAGCACCGGCCGAGACTCCGAGTGCCGGCGACTGCAGGAGCTGAAGCCGGAGCCGGCGGAGCTGCGGCGTGCGGACCGCGAGGGCGAGAGCGGCTGCGGGAAGCTGCTCGGGCCCGGAGCGCCGCGACAGGTGCGTCGTCGCCCTCTCCGCTGGACCCGGCGCCACGCCGGCAGGTTGTCCACCTCCCCGGAGCTCCAGGATTCCCCCTGAGAAATGGGCCCGGCTCGTGCCGGGTGGGGGTCGGGAGACCGGGCTGCGGCATGGGCTCCCCTGGGGAGGAGGGGAGAAGTTCCTGTGGACTGAGTAGCTTCTGCACCTGAAGGGATCGTGGGGGGCATTGGCTCTCAGGCAGCTGGGGTGCTTTGCGAGCAGCTGGTGCTGGGGACAATCCCATGACACTTAACCAATGATTGGCCTGAGCGCACATCGTGTGCCAGACACTATGTTAGGCGCTTTATAGGTACTGTGCAGCCCTCCCAGCAACCCCAGGAGGTAAGATCTATCATATGCCCATTTTCCAGATGGGGAAACCAAGGCGTAGAAGTTAACCAACTTGTTCAAAAAAACACGCAGATGGTCAGCAGTGGGGGATTCGAACTTGGGTATGTTTGGCTTCAGAGCTGATCCTCCTGTCTCTGTTCCTTTAAAAAGGAGTTAGTTCACCTCAGCTGATAGTTTGGCGCCTCCAGATTTTGTTTTACTTCTTGACCTTGGATAAACGCTGTAGGGAGGGAGGAGCGAACCCTGACTTCCAATTGGCACCAGACTCTCTTCCACTACTCCCGTCGCTGGGGCCAGCAGCAACTTCTTTTTCTCAGGCAGCAACGGGGCTACCCCTGTTGTAGCTACATTCTGCATGTGAAACTGATAGGTGATTTATTTCATAATAGTGAAGAGCTTTCATGCCAGGTGCATTGCTTTACTGTTCTCTCAACTGGCCTATTATGTTAGGTTGATGTCATGTTAAATTGTTAAGGACGATATGGTTGTGCTGAGGATAACAGTTACCGCAGCAAACCCATATGGGGAGTAACACTGTTACCCTGGACGTGACCTTTCAGAGTTTTAAAGGAATAATTTAAGGCAGGGTGAGAAGTAGCCAAAAGCTAAAGCAATTTGAGAATTATGTTAGGGAGTTTTTATATTTTAGGTTAATCGCTGTTTTTTTGTTTTGTTTTTTTAAGCAGTTCACTGTTAATGAAATTTTCCCTTAGAGTACGAAAAGGCTTAATGAAAAGGATGAAAACTATTTATTTAAAAAAAGATTTTATTTATTTGACAGAGAGACACAGCGAGAGAGGGAACACAAGCAGGGGGAGTTAGGGGAGGGAGAAACAGGCTTCCCACCTAGCAGGGAGCCCGATGTGGCGCTCCATCCCAGAACCCTGGGACCGTGATCTGAGCCGAAGGCAGCTGCTTAACAACTGAGCCACCCAGGCACGCCAAGGATGAAAATTTTTAAATCAGATATTTCAAGATGGTATGGTTTTGATTTAGAGCTTTGTAAATGTATTAAAAGTGTAAATATTGCATTTAAGGCATCACAAGAAAATTGAGAGCTTAATTCACTTTGGGAAACTTTAGAGGTGCCCTCTTTGCCTTCACCATTTTTATATTGCATAATATGTATGACCAAAAATTCCCAGCACATAATTAAAAAAAATCATCTACTTGTGCGCATACAGGTAACTTCTATTTAATTAAATAAACACATACCTTCATCCTCCCAGGAACTATTCAGTTATTAATGCAAATGAAATAATTCTTTGTTACCTACCCGAAATAAACTGTTATGTGCCCTTGCACATTCATGGCTATTTTGTTCAGGAAATCTAAAGATACAAATGTTGATTTAAAAAAAAAAAATCAGAACAGTCTACCAGAGTTGTTGAGTTTAAACACATCAAAGTCTGCTTTTACACATTGACTAAACATGGTGGACGTCCACCAGTAGTTCATTTGACTCCTATGATGGAGCAAAATAATGTCGAGGTCAGAATTTTGAGTTTTGGTCTTTACTGTCTGGATTAGTCATTAATTTAAATGATGTATATTTTTTATAGCACATGACTTGGGAGTTACTTCTTGTGACATGGATGAATCTGCACTGACCCTTGGCACAATAGATGTTTCTTATTTGCCAAATTCATCAGAATACAGTGTTGGTCGATGTAAGCATGCAAATGAGGAATGGGTAAGTTTAATACAGGTTAGAAACGTTCAACCTAAAGATGTTTGTTTCAGTGTTGTTTATGAAGGTAGCTGGAAGCAACATAATATCAAATAGAGGTTAATAGCTACAGAAACTGCCTCCAGCTGTTAGAAGATATGTTTATAGAGCCTAATATTTAAACATTCTTATGGATTTGTGTTAATTGGGAAGAAAAAATTGGGTGGGATATTTAAGCGTAGTGATTGTGTTAAAAAAAAAGCAAAATACTTTGCATAGAAAAACCTAGGAGTTGTTTTGGGTGGTGTACTTATAAAGATACTTTCTGAATCTATTTTCCATAATAAGTATGAATTTTGTAACGGAAATAAAGTTTTTTAAAAAAATAAAAATAAATTTTAGTATGAATCTCAATTCAAAGGACATGCATTTTCTTGTATTTTTTTTCTATTTTGACATAACATGGCATGTTTAAAATATTTCTTGAACACTATCTGCTTTATATAAAAATGATGTCAGAGTTTTGGGGTTTTTTTGCTTAGTTTTGAGAATGTTGTATCAGTGGGATATGAGCAACTAATGAACTCAATGAGCAAAATGTTTAGAACAGAGGAGCAGAATTTGACCCTAATTGGACAGTACAAACAGCTCTGATAAGAATTCCAGGTTTTAAACTCTGTTGTCAGGATAAAGGAATGTTATATAAGTTTACCTTGTTTTTTATTTAAAGTAAAATATTTTAAGCTGTGCATAACAACTTGCTTACTGAGTAAGGCTTTGTAGTGTTTTTGTGGGAGTCCGGGATTGAAGAGGAATAAGATTAACTGTTAGCATATGGATACAGGAGTCTGGTTTTATTCATCCTGCTGCTGTCATGGGCTGCTGAACCTTGTAAAACTGTTTTTGAACCTCTGAGTGTGCCGTAGTCCTTGCTAGCTATTACTATTCTTAGGTGCTCAAATTTTGCTTATGTTCCAAGTTTTGTTCCAAGTGTTGATGATGGAGGGGAGTACCATAAAGGAAAATCACTGAGAAACTTACACTACCAAAAGAAACCTAAGTCTAGGTTTCTCGTCTATCTGAAATACCTTAGTTTTAGAGATCAAGTGGACAAATACAGTTCTCTTGCCATTCAGACACTTTTTTTTTCCATTAACATTTTTTAGGGTGAGTGTGGTTTCAGACCTACTGTCTTCAGATCTGCAACCTTAAAATGGAAAGAAAGCCTAATGAGCCGGAAAAGGCCATTTGTTGGAAGATGTTGTTATTCCTGTACTCCCCAGAGCTGGGTAAGAATGTTACTGCTTGTTGACCTTTAATAAACAGTGAAATTCCAACTTTGTGTGAATTTTATTATTGGGTAGTCTTAATGGACTTAATTCATTTTTAGAACTTAGGCCCATGTTTATAAACCAAATATTCCAAGTAATGATGTTGACTCAGTTTTTCTTTCCATTCATTTATTCAGTAAATATCGGTCAAACAGTTGATGCTAAGTGATAATTTGGTGCTTTTTTAGTTTTTTTTTTTTTTTTTAAGATTTTAGTTATTTGAGAGAGAGAGAATGGGCACACACTTGAGAGAGATAGAGCACGAGGAGGGGGAGGGGCAGGGGGAGAAGCAGACTCCCTGCTGAGCAGGGAGCCCCAGGACCCTGGAATCATGACCTGAGCTGAAGAAAGCCACTTAACTGAGCCACCCAGGCGCCCTGGTTCTTTTTTTAGTTTAGTATGACTTTAGGGGAAGAGTAGATCTTACTTTTAGATCTCTCTTCTTTTTTTATTTCTTTTTTTAGTTTTTAAGTTCAATTAGCCAACATATAGTATATCATGAGTTTTTGATGTAGTGTTCAGTGATTCATTAGTTGCTTAACACCCAGTGCTCATCAATCACATGCCCTCCTTAATTCTAAAGAGTTGATGGGAACCTTCATAGAACTTCTAGATGTTGAACTTTTGACTCACTGTTAAAATCCTAGTGAGATGTGTAAGAGATAGCAGGACAGTGAAGTTTTAAAGCTGTGGATTTACCCTACTCTCCTTTTCCTAAGTTTCTGTTGCGGGGGGGATGGGTAGGGAGGGTGAGTATCTGGTGACTGTTATAGTGAAAGATGGTTACTAAAATGTTAGGATTGGGATGCCTGGGTGGCTCAGTCAGATAGGTGTCCAACTCCTGATTTCTGCTCAGGTCATGATCTCAGGGTTGTGAGATGGAGCTCTGCATCGGGCTGTGTGCTCAGTGTGGACTCAGCTTGAGATTTTCCCTTTCTCTCTTTACCCTCCCCAAAATAAATAAATCTTTTTAAAACATAAAATAAGGGGTGCCCGTGTGGCCGAGTCAGTTAAACCTCTGCCTTTAACTCAGGTCGTGACCTCAGCGTCCTGGATCAAGTCCTGAGTCTAGTGTGCTTCTCCCTCTCCCCCTGCTCCTCCTTGGTCAAGCGCCCGCGTGCGTGCACTCTCTCTCTCTCTCTCTCTCAAATAAATAAATAAAATCTTTAAAAAGTAAAATGTTAGGCTGAAGATTTTAAATAGAGTATGTGTGGGTTTGTTTATATTTTGGTGAAGCAAACACATGTTATGCAGAATCTTTCACATTACAGCGTAGTATTTGAAGAGAGTCAGTTGGATGAAAGGCAAGCTTCTGTTGGTAATTTGCTAGATGGATGAGTTAGCCCAGGAATGTAGAATCGAAGTGGCTGTGTTCTTGGGCAGCAGAGTTACCTTTTAAAAGGTATACCTGGGCGCCTGGGTGGCTCAGTTGGTTGGGCGACTGCGTTCGGCTCAGGTCATGATCCTGGAGTCCCCGGATCGAGTCCTACATCCGGCTCCCTGCTGAGCAGGGAGTCTGCTTCTCCCTCTGACCCTCTTCCCTCTCATGCTATCTCTCATTCTCTCTCTCAAATAAATGAATAAAATCTTTAAAAAAAAAAAAAAATGTATACCTGGATGTTAACTCTTTCTGGGATGGGCCAGTTCTCAGGACAGAAATTCTGCCATTTTGAGTGCCTTTCATTTATAGACATTGCTTATAACCTGTGTGGGTAGCTGACTGTGCTGTGTGAATTTTCTACTCAGGGTTGGCTTGGCAGGAAGTAGAATTCTGAGTCTGGTGTAAAGGGATTCACTAACTTGGGAAAGATTTGTGTGGGACCCAAGCAATTTATGTTAAATATTCTTAATTATAAATATTGTTCCTTTTAAATCACAAGCACCTTGTTGCAGGAATTTGGTAGAATTGAAGGACCATGATATTTATAGTCTAGGAGTAAGGGCAGTTCAGATTAATAGGCCAGTAGAAATAAAAATTTAAATAAATGATCATGTGGCTTTTCTTTTTAGACTGGCATCTCATCTAATTCTAATTTCAAATCCTTAAAAAGTCAAAATAATACCTTGACTTTATTCTTTTTTTTAAAAAGATTTATTTATTTTAGAGAGAGAAAGTGAACACACGCATGAACATGGGGGAGGGGCAGAAGGAGAGGGAGCGAAAATCCCAAGTAGATTCTGTGCTGAGCACAGAGCCCAACGAGGCTCGATCCCAGGACCCTGAGATCACGACCTGAGCCGAAACGAAGAGTCTGAAGCTCAACTGACTGAGCCACCTAGGCGTCAGGAGAGAGTATAGGAAATTATTGGGTGGTGGTGGTTGGGGGTGTTTTGGGGTGGGCATGGATGAGTTGTATAGTAAATAATTGATTTTTGCTTAAATACGGTACCTGATGGAGTTGAACTTGATCTTAAAGTTCTTCCGTGGCATGTTTATTTAAAATAATTTTAAACAGTACTTTCATAGTAATTTTTTGATATTTGCTACCCTTTCTCTGATACCCTGTTTTCCTTATCTCTAAAGAGATTCCAAATAAATATTTTTATATCTTCTATTGAAGGTACATTATGCCTTCCCAGCATTTATTTGTGGAATGTTTACCTTTTTGTCTACACTGATAAAGCTACAGACTTTCTCTTTCCAGAAGAACTATCTCTGAGTTATCCTTTGAAGTTTTCCTGTAAAGAGAGTGACCTTTAGCTGTACATTTTCCAATCAAGTAAACAGTCATTTTAGAGAAATAAAGACTGTACTCTAGAGCAAGATGTAGATTTGAATATTAGAACCTCCATCAGCCTCAATTTTCCTATCTGTAAAATGGGGATAATAATTATTGTGTCAGGATTATTGCTGGATTTAATAATCTAATGATAACTACATGCTACTTAGCATGGTATTTTTGCATTTGGGTAATACTGAAATCTCCAATATTCCTGTCAGGGATTTAATAAGCTCTCAGTAGCTTCAACTCTTGTGGGTTGGAGGTAGGGAGTGAGGCAGGAAAGGGAGGCACAGTTTCCTTTGCAACGTGGTAAGCCTTAATTCTGAGTTTGTGACCTTCTTTGAAGACTAAAAAGTACTTTTCAGTAAAACATTTTTCTTTATCACTTAGATTTTTGAAGCAGTGCCTAACTTTATACTTGAGTTATAAAAGTTATCAAGAAGTAGTAATGTGGGATGCCTGGGTGGCTCAGTTGGTTAAGCGTCTGCCTTTAGCTCAGGTCATGATCTCAGGGTCTTGAGATCAAGCCCCAAGGCAGGCTCCCTGCTCAGTGGGGAGTCTCCTTCTCCCTCTGCCTCTGCCTCTCCCCCCAGCTCGTGCTCTCTCTCTCTCTCAAATAAATAAAATCTTAAAAAAAAAAAAAAGTAATGTGAGCTCTTCACCAGCCATCCAGTTGTATACTTATGTCTACATCTATTTTGTTTCATGTAGGATAAATTTTTCAACTCCAGTATCCCATCTTTGGGTTTGCGGAATGTTATTTATATCAATGAAACTCACACAAGGTAAAAAGAAATTTCTTTTATTTCTAATACATCTCAAAAGAAAAACTATAATAATCAATGGATATACTCTAAGAGGAATTTCTTCATCTTTTTGAGAATTAATAGAAATTGAGCTTCTGACACAAGAGGCCTTATCTAAAAATTGGAAGTAGCACAGCCCCCTGAGAGACTGGTTACTATTACCACTATGTAATTATATAGTAACTATTTCATGAGAGTGTAGATATCACTTATAGCTTTCTCTTTTTATTTGCATATTGATTTTATATCTGAAGTGTGCCAAAACGTGATAAAGATTTGTCTGAGGAAAGGGTAAGTTTGAATGTCTTATGATTTATTATTATTTTATGCTTAAAAATTGAAATAAACCTAATCTATGGAGTTTTAGAAGATGTACTCCTGTATCGAGCAAATGTTCTTTCATTTTATTACTAGCTTAAGACTTTCTTTAGAATTCTTCCAGACGTCAGGCACTTGGGGATGGGCTGTTAGGCATCCCAGTGAGAGAAAAGAGGCTTTGTTTTATGTGAATCTAGGCTAGGGGATAAGGGAGGGGTGAGGGGAGGTTGTGTGAATGTCTATGAGGCAGGAGAGAATGGCAGCCAAAAACGCTGCCAGTCCTTCTACTTAGTTCTAAGACTAAATGCCTGGAATGGGTCAGCAGTAGGTTCAGGTGATGAGACATGCTTGAAATTCTGTGAAAATTGACCCAAGAAGTCAAATATGTAAATTTGAAGGCTTTCTGATGTTACTGATCATATTTTGGTGATGAGATAATAAGTGAGCATGACAATACCTGCATATAAAAGTGTTGTTTTTTTTTTTAATAGAACCAAAGTCAAGGGACATATTTTTTCCCAATCCCATGCTACCCTTCTCCCTCGTTCTCTCTTTTAAATTTAAAGGAGAGAGGAGCAATTCTGGCCCCCTGATATTTTTTCTCCCTTTTTTGACTCAAGATCCTAAGGGATCTCATAGAGTCTCTTGTTTATGTAAGTAGCCATTTTATGTATAAAGCCAAAGGGTTCATTTGTTGTCCCCAGTTGAAGGCATTTAAGAAAAAAAAAAGCCTACACTGTACTGACTAGGTGATCTGAAACCAGTCCGTGTGATGACCTGCCTGTGCAGTTGAGCTGGCTACTTCACTTCTCTGTGTGTTACATGAAGCAAAGCCTAGACACTTTTAAGCGTGCACACACACACACACACACACACACACCGCCTTCAATCCATTACAGAAGGATTTCATCAAGAACTGGGACTTTGCACATTCCAGTAACAATTGTGAAAGTGTTCACTCAAGGAAGGATTTAGAATTAAACACTTAACATAGTGGGTCATGTTTGCAGAGAATTGAGACAAAGGAAAGGAGGTAGAAAAAGAGAATGTCAGAAAAAGAGATGAAGGAACAAGTGATTAATCAACAGTTCTTCCTCCAGTTACTTTTCCTTAACTGAGGGCTTTTCAGAATTCATGCATTTATATTTGAAATCTATTTGAGTGTCTTTATGCGTGAAATGATAATGAGCCATTATATAATCATTACAAATGGTTTCAAATCATTGCATATGAAGGTTTGTAACGTTGTTATTCTGAGGTCTCTGTCCCAAGCCCCCATATAAGTAACATAGTTACCAACAACAATGGGAATACATCCTATCCCTTAGATATGTCAAATGTTGGCGGGGGGGGGGGGGGGGGGGGGGAGAGGTAAGAACTTCTGGCTTCATAAGCCCAGTGTACAAATGTTTAGACCATACTTTAGTTATCCTTGACTTCTGTCAACTAATCAGCTTTGTCAGAGTCAGTGATTACCTTAGATAAAAAAAAAATTACCTTTTATAAAAAATTAGCCCTTCATGTAGAAAAGACTTCCGGATTATCTCTTTATAGCTCATAGCTATAAGTTACATATATATATATATAGCATACAACATACTTGCTTTTAAAAAATGTATTAATAAAGTAAGACTTTTTAAATTTCTTTTGTTTTTATATTTGGTTTATTATTTGGCAGAGTAACACCATTCAAGCATTTTAGTACACAAATTCCAAGTTTAAATTTTAGTTGAGTGTACACAGAAGAAATCAGGATTGAAATTGCATAGATCATCCTGAACTACTAGGGAGAATTTGCTAAAGGAGAACACCAAATTTCAGGAATAGATGAAACAAGACTTTGTTTTTATAGCAGGAAACTACAAGTCAAGCAATTTGTTTTAGGTGTACCTAGACTACTTCTCTGCTAAGTCCTTTTCACATTGCAGGCACAGAGGATGGCTTGCAAGACGTCTTTCTTATGTGCTTTTTGTTCAAGAGCGAGATGTCCATAAAGGCATGTTTGCCACCAATGTGGCTGAAAATGTACTGAACAGCAGTAGGTAAGGGTGGGGATGCTGTTATAAAGGGAAGAGGCGGGGGGTTGGGGAGTTGGGGGGGAAGTGGGGTAGGAATTTTTGCCTTCCTTTATTAACCTTTACTTTCTCTGGGACTCTGTCTCAAGAGGGATTTCCATTTCCAAATGTTAAATGTTAAACTCGAAAGGAAAGCAAGGAAAAGTAGGAGAACTGATGGTTTTGGGAATAGCAGTCTTGTTTTATGCATTAACAATCGAATGGGTTTCTAATATGTGAAAGGTGAGTCGGAATTCAGAGATGAACATATTTCCAGTTCTCTGTTTTCTGTAATACGAATGTTGGGACATTGTGTTTCTTATCATTATAGCCAAAAGGGAAACGCATTTGATATTTGTCAGTTTTTGAGTAACTAGGCACAAATTCTTGTGCTAGGAAATCCTTACTAGAAATTTTAAGAGAATAAGATTCTGTCCTTGCTCTCAGAAGAGCTTACTTACGAATGGGAGAGACTGACTGGAACTCAGATGGAGTGGGGAAATAAATCATTCTCAAGTTTAGGCGTTAGAATATGAGAGTTTGCATGAAGTCGGTCTCTGATCCACCTCATTTGGTGTCACCATGGTAGACATCTATCTGGATTTGGGGAGCCAGAGACCAGAGTGGTTTGAAAGACTGCTTAGAAACCCTGTAGTGTGGTTGCTAAGGCCCGAACAGTGGTGGCATGTAGTAGGTACTCAATAAATATTGAATGAATATTGAATGAATGAATAAATAGTTGATAATGGAGATTTAATTATCTTCTCAATTACTTGTAAAAACATTCCTGGCCAGATTGAAATAAAGGTATTAAAGGAATGGCTTAATGTGCATCAGCAACCTGTGGAATTGGACTTTTGTATTAATGGGGTTATATGCGGTTTTGCTGTGTACTAGTCTAAAATCAGTAGCAACAGTGGGAGAAAACATAGTATTTGAAACTCCTTTGGGTTATTGTATATTCTGCTTTCTAGGTAAAAACCTTCAAGGATGTTTCATTCCATCCAGAGGTTTTGACTAGTAACTATGATATTAAAAGTGATTTAAGGAGGTTTAACCTCATGGGTTCTTCCCTAAGTCACATGGAAAATTTACAAAACTGGATTAGATCTTATCTCTTACTTCACTGCTTATTGCTTTGTGTTGTTTTAATCTTGAGCTTTCTTAAATTACTGGGTTGATATGGCAAACACTTGTAAATATTTATGCCCCTCTCTGATCCCTCCTACGGAGTGTCACATACAGTTCTACTAATAAAGTCACTATATAAATGAGTAATAAATTAGGTCTTTAAAAGAAAAATCACACATTACTTTGGCAGTGGGCTTTGGATACCTCTGAGTATTGCCTAAAGCGACAACCTTTCTTTCTCTCCCCTTTGGTAGAGTGTAACTTTGTATCCCCCGCAACATACCTGGAATGTTTAAATTCCTGTAGCTGTTACCCAGTGAATTTGAGTTAAATTCTTAAAGCTGCCTTCCAGATTCCTCAGGGATTCATTGATTTAGGAATATAATATCCTTAATATTTATTAGGCAGCCAGATAAAACATCTAATTTGAGCTTATTTTCATGTTAATCACATATTAAGAAGATACATTTTGTTTTGTGACTTATAGCTATGATTTAGAAAATACTGGATGCAGAATGTAGCATAGAACTAGTTACATTTTCTGTTTTCCAGAGTACAAGAGGCAATTACAGAAGTGGCTGCTGAATTAAACCCTGATGGTTCTGCTCAGCAGCAATCAAAAGCCATCAATAAAGTGAAAAAGAAAGCCAAAAGGATCCTTCAAGAAATGGTTGCCACTGTCTCACCAACGATGATCAGGTATTAAGAGGCAAAGCACAAAGTTTTCAGTGAGAGCCATCCTATTTTGAGCAAACAGGGACTGAACCATTAGACTTTCCTAGCACAGTGGTTTTGGTCCAAAGGAAGTTTGGACATATTCTGTTGTTAAAACTCCTTTTTATTTTATTTTTTATTTTTTAAATTTTTTTAAAGATTTTATTTATTTGAGAGAGAGATCACGAGCAGGGGGAAAGGGTAGAGGGAGAAGCAGATTCCCTGCTGAGCAGGGAGCCCGATGAGGGAATTTGAATCCCATGTGGGACTCGATCCCAGGTCCCTGTGATCATGACCTGAGCTGAAGGCAGATGCTTAACCGACTGAGCCACCCATGTGCCCAAAACTTCTTATATTCTTATTCAGCTTCCATGGAAAGTAGCCCTGTGGTAGACTTTAAGGTGCCTTGATCTTTGTTAATCGATAGCAGCCTTTGTATGACTGCTGACTTATCTCTAGACTTGTGAGCTGGGTTTCACATATCCATATCTTTTTTTCTTTTTTTTTCAAAGATTTTTATTTATTTGAGAGAGAGAATGAGATAGAGAGAACATGGAGGGGGAGGGTCAGAGGGAGAAGCAGACTCCCCACTGAGCAGGGAGCCCGATGCGGGACTTGATCCCGGGACTCCAGGATCATGACCTGAGCTGAAGGCAGTTGCCTAACCAACAGAGCCACCCAGGCACCCCACATATCCGTATCTTAAAGGCAGTGGTTTTATACAGCTTTCTGTTCACCTAAATATTCAGTTAATGATTTGCTTCTGAAGTGTAAAGTGTGCTATTTGAGTGAAATGTAAGATTTTCGTCTGTAATAAATAGATAAATAGAAATGTAAGATTTTAGTCTATAATAAATACATGTATCTATAAGTGTGCATGTAAAAGTCAGCTCTTTAATTCAATAGTTCAGGTACAGACATACACACACTAAGTTACTTACAGTAAAGTACTTACACACTAAAGTACTTACAAGTACTTTTCGGTTGTAGGTTCAGAAACTTAAGTAGACAAAAGTCAACTCTCTCTAAATGTATGTATATACATTTGAATTTCTTTTTTTTTTTCCCCCCTTCTTTTAGACTGACGGGATGGGTGTTGCTCAAACTGTTCAACAGCTTCTTTTGGAATATTCAGATTCACAAAGGCCAACTTGAGATGGTTAAAGCTGCAACTGAGGCAAGAATTTTGTGTGATATGTCATTCTGTTGTCCCCATGTTTGTGGAGTGATTTTAGAGTCTTTTGTATGGAAATGTTCTCTTGTGTCCTGTGTGCATCCAACCCATTTGGAAGATTTCCCCCATGTGACATGAGCACAGTAGCTGTGCATTTGGGGAGGGGTGAGTAAAGGAGGACCTACCAGTAATGTGCTGGATTCCTTTTGTAAGTTACCTTGCAACAGCCCTGAAATTAGATAGAACAATCCATATTTATAAGTGACAAAATAAAAGCACAGATAAAGATTGCCCAGTCACGGCTAGTAAGTGACTGCCCATGATTTCAAGCCAAACCAAGCTTGGGGTTTACTTTGCTCTTTTGACATGATCAGGGCTGACTCTCAGAAATACATAAAGTCCACTTGAATTCTCAGTTGCACTTCTCCTTCCCCAACTCTTTTTTTTTTTTTAATTGTGGTGGTGGTGGTTGTTTTCAGCTAAGGAAGTGTTAAATTGGAAGAAGTTCATATTACTGGAAAATGTTTTTAAAGAATGAGTCATTGATTAGCCAGCGTTGGGGTGATTCTAACCAAATATGAAGTTGTGAAGTGTGATTGAAATTCACATTTGAATTTTAAATTTGGCATTTTTTCTTTTACTAGATGAATTTGCCACTTATATTTCTACCAGTTCACAGATCACATATTGACTATCTCCTGCTGACCTTCATTCTCTTCTGCCATAACATCAAAGCACCGTACATTGCTTCAGGCAACAATCTGAACATTCCCATCTTCAGGTAAGACCAACTTATTTTGAAATTTAAGGTATGGAAAAATTATATTTTGAATTTTTGGTGTTTTCAGTGTACATTTTGAAACATGTTATTGTAGAGATGACATTAGGTTTTTTGCTTTCATTATACAAGTCATGCATGTTTATTGTGGAAAATTTGAAAGGTACAAAAAGGCATGAAGACTATCACTGTTATTTCTATGTTTTATGTGGGATACTTGAACTGTGAATACCTCAACTTCATGGGCACTATTTATCACATGGCTGAAAGGCAATTAGAAAGATGAGATAGCAAATTACTGTATCAGACTTGGCAGTAGGGAAGGTGGGGGTGGGGATATGGGTCGTGGTGATGGTATAAAGTAAGAAGAACCATACCTGTTACCTTTGACCTGATAATTTAGTAGTGCTAGAAACACATAATAATTATAATACGACACAAAAAGTATATTTTAGAGGTCTTTCAGGAGAAGGCAGTGCATTCCATTCAGAGGAAATAGTATGTGAAGAGGCCGAGAGGCTCAGATGCCTGGTACGGCCCCGAAACGGCAGACGATTCGGTAGGGTTAGAATGCAGGGTGCGGTGGGAAGGGTCAGAGGCCGGAAGTGGTCATTGCATAGGAATGCAGGGTGCAGTGGGAAGGGTCAGAGGCCGGAAGTGGTCATTGCATGGGGAGTGAGAGCTAGGTCAGAACAGTTTTTAAGCCGAGTTTAGAGTGTATCCTGTGGTTGAAAAGTGGTCAGATTTGCATTTTGAAAAATCATTCTGGATTACAGGGTGTTAGAACAATTCTGACTCCATTAAAGTAGTTTAGGCAAAAGATAATGAAGCCTTAAATTAAAATTTGTAGTGGTGCTCTTGGTGAGGAAGGCATAGAGTGGAAAAGTATTTAGTAAGGTGAATTTATAAGACGAAATGCTAGTCCAGAGAGGGGGAGTTGTGGGAGGAAGACTCCCAGATATTTACCACCAGGGAACTGGATAGATAGTGGAGCTGATCACCAATGGGGAATGGGTGAGGAGTAGGTTTAGTTGGTTGGGGACATTGCAGGTTCAAATTTCAAAGCAGAGAGCATCTGTGACGTCGGCTCCGAGCAGTAGGGAGTATGAGGAGGATGGATTTACAGTAACTGGAGAGCAAGTGGAGTGGCGGGTTGTGCATGTAAGGTCTCACAAAGTAGCCGTGATAACCTTTGTGTGTTGTGAAGTCTGATCCTCAGCCTCACAGTCCAAGGAGCTCCTTCCTGATCCCATTGGCTCAGAGTTCTGTGGCTAACCGGACTCATGGGAATAGCTGAAGGGAAGCCATTCATTCGTGTAGTCACTGATACTTACCCAGCTGTGCTGTAGACAAGAGTGAAGAAGTTACATAGTCCTTGCCTTCAAATAGCTCATAATCTACTGGGGAATATAAACAAACAGCTCTAATGCGATGCGATACACCCCCTGCGGGGCAGACATGCTTCCCTAGGGACTAGAATATCTGTGTTTACTCTCCTGGGAACCTCTTCCCAGTACTGGGAAAACTGGGAAGTTGCATTAAAAAGTCACCAGAAAGTCGGAAGCAGGCACAGACTTAGAGCCAAGAGAACTGTTCCCTTTGGGCTTTAGGGGGGCCCTGCCCCATAATAGTTTGCCTTTCCTGTCATCAGAGTAACTCCTGTACTCATTCCCTCCAGGTTCTCAGCTTGCAGGTGCTCCTGGAAGGATCTCATCGAAATGCGTATTAAAAATTGATAATATCTCATAATCCAACTTTCCTTTTCATGAACTCTGTGCCGGGCGTTGCTTAGCTCATCCTTCCTTCAGACGTGACAGTCGATGACCTGGCCTGTTTATTGGCCGCTTTCTTCTGTTAACACGCCAGTCTGCCCGTTCGCAAACCACTTTTCAGGGTGGGTGGTTTCTCTGGGAGGTTCATCTCATTCATTATGAACTTTTTCATAGTTTTGCTCTCAGAGAGTGAAAGAAGATAGTGAAAATATATATTGATATTGATACTAATATCACTCTATTTGAAAAGAAGAGGAGGCTCTGAATTTGGAAACGTTGCCTTAAGTATTATAAAATTTCACCTCAGTATCAAAATCTGTCAGTGTCATAGAACCATGGGGTTGAGAAAAGAATCGTTTTATCCCCGTGTAAGTGTACATAAAGCACATTTTTGTTTCATGTTTTGGGAAAATGGTTGTGCTTGGTTTTGGTTTGATAAAATTACCCTTGTCTTACAGAGACACTCTCTAAGCAGTACTTTCTTGAGGAAATTTCCCCAAAGGAGCTTTTGTAATATCACATTCATTTTGTAGTAAATGTGCCAAAGGCAGATTTCAGGATGTCTAACAGTCAGTGTCCTGAGATCCTTGACAGTTTTCAAATTTAGCAGTATTTCATCATCCTCTTAAAACCTGTAACATTACCTTTGCAGGGTAATATATTATACAAACTTCTTTTGGTTTGGAACAGATGTTAGTAGGTTAGTAGGGCTTCAGTACACGAAGTGATATTCTAAAGGCTGACCAATGATGCAAATGACTGAAACATGTCAGTAACATGGAAAATGGAAAAACATCCACATTTTCACTGTCAACAGCTCAAACAACACATGTGGTTAATATTCCTATGGCATATGTTTTGAAGTAACTTGGAATTGAATATTGTTACGTTTTTATTTATAAGTAACGATGCGTTCTTCAATTTATAGTACCTTGATCCATAAGCTTGGGGGCTTTTTCATACGTCGGAGGCTGGACGAAACGCCAGATGGACGGAAGGATATTCTCTATAGAGCTTTGCTCCATGGAGTATGTATGCTCTCTCATCACCCTTAAAGCCCTTATAGTAGTTATCACAGTAGAAGGAAAAACAGACTTGATTGAGATTTAAAAAAAAAATTGTTGTCTATGTAATTATTTAAGTGGTTATTGTCTGGGTATGGGGGTTGATGATTATTTCTGTTATCACCAAAATATAGCATCGGCGGAGCTGGCTTGCTATTATTCCTGTGAATAAAATATTTTGTCAGTAGTGAAGTTACAGGTTTTTGTTTGTTTATTTTAAGATTTAACTTTGCTGAGCTTGTTCTAAGTTGGGTGGTCTTGAATTCATGGTTTACATTCTCCTTATATTCCAGCATATAGTTGAACTACTTCGACAGCAGCAGTTCTTAGAGATTTTTCTGGAAGGTACACGCTCTAGGAGTGGAAAAACCTCCTGTGCTCGGGCAGGACTTTTGTCAGTTGTGGTAGATACTTTGTCTACGAATACCATTCCAGACATCTTGATAATACCTGTTGGAATCTCCTATGATCGAATTATTGAAGGTCACTACAATGGCGAACAGCTGGTAAGAGGACTGCCTTCCCAAACGTCTTCTTCACTTTCAAGTCTTTTGCTTTTAGATACGGGCTTTTGGAATCAATTAGGAATTTTTTGCTACTATTTAAAGCCCTGTAGGAAACATGGTAGAGTGGGTGGGGTGAGGAGCTTTCATCCCTCGTGTCTGTGTGATTGGCCTTGCTAATGTGGCATTTTCCTGCGCATCTTCTTTATCCATTCATCTGTCGGTAGATACTTGGGCTGCTTCCATACTTTGGCTGATATAAATGATGCTGCAGTAAACATGGAGTGCATGTATCCCTTTGAATTAGTGTTTTTGTATTTTTTGGGTAAATACCCAGTAGTATGATTATGGGCTTGTAGGGTAGTTCTATGTTTAATTTTTTGAGGAACCTCCATACTGTTTTCCACATTGGCTGCACCAGTTTGCATTTCCACCAGCAGTACAAGAGGGTTCCTTTTTCTCCACATCCTTGAAACACTTGTTTCTTGCGATTTTGATGCTAGCCATTCTGACGGGTGTGATATCTCATTGTAGTTTTGATTTGCATTTCCCTGATGATGTGTCTGTTGGCATCTGTATGTCTTCTTTGGAGAACTATCTGTTCATGTCTTCTGCCCACTTTTTTTTTTAAAAGATTTATTTACTAGGGGCGCCTGGGTGGCTCAGTCGGTTAAGTGACTGCCTTCGGCTCGGGTCATGATCCCAGGGTCCTGGGATCAAGCCCTGCATCGGGCTCTTGCTCTGCAGGGAGCCCGCTTCTTCCTCTCCTCCCCGCTTGTACTCTCTCACTGTCTCTCCTTCTCTCTCTCTCAAATAAATAAAATCTTTAAAAAAAAAATAAAGATTTATTTACTAATTTATTTGAGAGAGAGAAGGTGCATGGAGGGGGTTTGGGGAGGGACAGAGAGAATCTCAAGCAGACTCTCTGCTGAGCATGTAGCCCCATGCGGGGGGCTTGATCTCATGACCCCGATATCATGACCTGAGCCGAAACCAAGAGTCGGATGCCCAACTGACTGCACCACCCAGTCACTCCTGCCCATTTTTTAATTGGATTATTTGGATTTTTGGTGTTTTTTTTTTTTTTTACATATGTTTATCTTTAATGATCCAAGATTCTGCAAGACACACTGATATACCCAGAACTGGGTGGAAATACAGCTTTCTCAGCCATGCTGCCGCCAACCTGGGGGAGGGAAGGGCCGGATGCTGGCTGGAGACCCTCCCCCCAGGTACAGTTGCAACCTCACAGGGAGTCTCAGTGCTCTATCTCCATGGAAACCAGCCCAGCTCTGGAATGGGGCTCTAGGGAGCCCCTAGGAGCATCTCTGAGAGGTATTTCCCATTAAAAACGACCACAGCTGCCCTCCCCCACCCAAAGCTACTGCCCAGCTTCCCCTCTTCCCCCTCTGCCAAGACAGAGGAAATGGAGTGACCACAGGAGGACAAACAAAGTGACTGTACTTCCTGTTGGGCAAGAAGAACGAAGGGAGGGGTTAGCAAGGTGGGTGCCATGGGCAAATGGGGGTGCCATGATTGCCAAAGGGCCAGGTGTGTCCCAACCCCAGAGGTACCCTGTGTTGCCAGGGCGCCACTGCTCTGGGGCATAGAAAAAGGCAGGTCTTCAAGGCTGCTTCCTCCTCTAGAGCTGCCCAAGGTTCAGATCAAAAGGGGATGGGGCCCAGGAAGGCTCTACAACCCCAGGAGGCAGTCGCACCCACTGCCAAGACACTACCTATGTCATGATGCAGTGTCAGGGATGTGTGGTCCACATGCCTCCCTTCCCGGCCTGCGGGACTGTCAGAGGTCCGGCTGAGAAGAACTCCAGGGAAGACCAGGACAGGGGTCAGGGCAGGAGACAAAATCTTCTCCAACTTGACATCAAAACAGAGCAAGTTCAAAGAAACCTTGATTTGTACAGCAGCTGCCCCTGGCCTACACCCACTTAGGGTCGGCCCAATAAAAAGCTGGGCAGAGCAGGAGCATGGCCGCCCTCGGGGCAGTGCACGGAACTCAGAAAAGTGAGTCTACAGAATACAAGAGAGAAGGGCAGAGCCAAGGCCCTGCTGTTCCCTGACACGTCCTCCACTGGCCGCACGTTCCCTGGGCCCTGACCTCAAACCCACTGTAGGAGCAACATCCTCAGGCTGAGCCCTGGCAGGCAGGTCTCCGGGGAGGGAAGTTCAAAAGGTGTCCCAGCAGGAACGTGAGAGTCCTCTGAAGGCCCCTGACTGAGTTCTTCAGGGAGAATGTTGAATTGTGTAAGTTCTTTATATGTTTTAAATACTAACTCTTTATCCTCTTTATTACATTGTTGTTTGCAAATATCTTCTCCCATGCAGTAGGTTGTCTTTTAGTTTTGTTGAATGTTTCCTTTGCTATGCAGAAACTTTTTATTTTCATGTAGTCTTAATAGTTTATTTTTGCTTTTATTTCCCTTGTCTCGAGACATATCTAGAAAAATGTTGCTATGGCCAGTGTCAGAGAAATTACTGCCTGTGTTCTCTTCAAGGGTTTTTATGGTTTCAGGTCTCACATTTAGGTCTTTCATCCATTTTGAGTGTATTTTTGTGTGTGGTGTAAGAAAGTGGTCCAGTTTAGTTCTTTTGCATGTAGCTGTCCAGTTTTCCCTTCACCATTTGTTGAAGAGACCGTCCTTTTCCCCGTGCATATTCTTGCCTCCTTTTTTGAAGAGTAGTTGACCAAATAATTGTGGGTTTATTTCTGGACTTTCTATTCTGTTCCATTGATCTATGTGTCTATTTTTGTGCCAATACCATAGTTTGCAGTAGTATTTTTGTGAATGGTGTAAACAATGTACTAAGTGAATTAGTGTTAAGTGTTCTGGTTTTCACTGACCAGACTGCCTCTCCCAATAAAAGAATTACATCTTTTAGCATCTTTGCATGCTAAAGGTTTTATGACAGGTCTCAGTCAATGAATACTTATTTTTCTTCTTTATTTAGTGTTGTTCTTTATACAAACCTCCAGTTTCCATTAAAAAAAATAAATAAATGGTGGGCGCCTGGGTGGCTCAGTCAGTTAAATGTCCAAGTCTTGGTTTCGGCTCAGGTCAGGGTGGTGAGATTGAGCCCTGCATCAGGCTCTGCGCTTGGTGGGGAGTCTGCTGGAGATTCTCTGTCCCTCTGTACCCCCTTCCCCATACATGCTCGCTTGCTCTCAAATAAAGCTAAGAAGTAAATAAATAAATGGCATTTTTTGGATAACAGAATGCCTATTAGCATTATTTCTTACCATGCTATTCTTTCAAAATTGGAATTTAGGGAAAACCTAAGAAGAATGAGAGCCTTTGGAGTGTAGCTAGAGGAGTTATCAGAATGTTACGAAAAAACTATGGATGTGTCAGAGTGGATTTTGCACAACCATTTTCCTTAAAGGTGAGTATTTGTTGGAATGACGCAGTGTTAAAGCGTTGGTGTAGCTCCATGTTGGAAGATGTGGGCTCTGGTCCTGCCTCTGCAGCCTCCTCTCCTGTGACCTCGGTTTCTTCTCTTGGGAAATGAAGACTATGTCAAGAACGGCATTTCCTAAATTTTCCTACCAAAGTATGCCTGTTGACAGAGGACAGTAAATATCTATCTTTGGGAGATGCCAGGGTCAACATTTATTGCTACTGTTTCTTTTTTAGTTCATGAGAATTCTGCTTGTTGCTTCATAATATATATTGGTATTTTATATTTTAAAATTGCCTTTAGTGGAAATTTTGCAAAATCTGCCCCTAAAATCTGGGTAAAATTGACAGTCTAGGATGATGTTCTCCTGAGTGGAATCCAGCCCGCACACATTTCACAGGGAGAGTGACATTCTTATGCAGAAGCCTGGCTCTGGTGGGTCCCGAGGTCCTGGCAGTTTTAAATTCCTAAGATTTTTGAATTGGTGGAGAAGAAGGATGAGTAAGGGGATCGGGAGCCCAGGGGTAAGGAGCAGGGGTCCTACTTTTCCCTTTGTTCCATTCTTAGTTTTACTTTAAAGAACCTAACTGCCAGGCTAGATGCTTTCTGGCCTTACATGCTTTCCACTTTGAGGAGCCTTGTCATTTCTTACCACTTTATCTTTTTCAAAACTGTTGCACAATTTCTCTATGTTGTTATGATTTGCTTTTGGATTGAGGTTCTTTTGAATATTATGTAACCCTCAGGTTGTCAGATTTCCTTTAAAAAGCATGATTGTGTTGATCATTACTAATAATAATATTGGGAATGTCCGATATTTTGTGTCGATGTGAGAAAAGTTAAGTGTTTTCCTTTAACTTTTAAATAATTCTGTTTAGGGGTGCCTGGCAGCTCTTGATATTGGGATCGTGAGTTCAAACCCCACATTGGGCGTGGAGTCTACTTAAAAAAATTTTTAAAAGTTAAAAAATTAAAAAATACATAATTTTGCTTAAGCATCATTGTCCCATCCTTTGTATCATCAGGCCTTAGATTTCACGCTTGCCAAAATTCTAGGAGTCGTCCTGCAGTTCTGAAGGTAGTTTAGGTTATGGAAAGTACTTCTCCTGCTCTGTAGCATGGCTCATTTTATAAAGTACTCCCTTTTTACTTTTTGAAGATCGAATTTTATTTTATATATGTTTATGTAAGCAAGACAATGAGTTTATGACTGTGTTGTATTCCCCCCCCCCGCCACCCCCCAGGAATATTTAGAAAGCCAAAGTCAGAAACCTGTATCTGCTCCACTTTCTCTGGAGCAAGCATTGTTACCAGCTATACTTCCTTTAAGGTAAGGTTTGTGGAAACTTTTTGTACTATCTACACTATCAAATATCTGTTATTTCTGGCATTGCACAGAAAAATAGGTTAAGTTTATGAAGAATGTGCACGTTCTCATTGTCACTTCCTCCCTTTGGGTAACTTTTCTCTTGGTCTGATAAAGGATAGTGAAGTGACACATTTTTATACTAGTCTGGAGGTTTTTGATTATTTGCGTTATAACATCTTTTGTTATGTATGAATCAGGTAGGAGTTCTTATTTGATTTATGCTTTTGAATGTTGGAACTGAATTCCTTTTGGTAGTAGCTTAGGTTATGCATAATTGTATGTAAGTGCAGTGTATAAAAGAGTTTTCCTACGTACATTTTCCAGAATTCAGGGTGAATTATAACTTAGAGAAATTAAATATTAAGCCCCTCCCCTAATGTGTGCGGGTGTCAAAATTTTAGAAATGTTTTACAATGAGGTATCTTAACTTTATGCAGTTTTTTCAGCCAGTGGATTTTGGAGGTGATGTACCAATAGATTATTTGGTCATAACTCAAAATCTTTTGGTCAGGAGACTGTATTAAATATAATAAGGTATGTTATGGGGGAAAACAATGCATAGAAATAATCTGTTTGTGGTTAAAGTATTTAAGACATTTATACCTTAATTCTAGATAGTTTGCTTATAAGAGAGATAAGAGTGTGGTTATAGAGTCTAATTAGAAAACAATCTTTTCAGACCCAATGATGCTGCTGATGAAGGTGCAGACACATCCATTAATGAGTCCAGAAATGTAACAGATGAGTCCTTCCGAAGAAGACTGATTGCAAATCTGGCTGAGCACGTTCTCTTCAGTAAGTACAATACCAAACCCTTTCATTCTGCAGTTCAAACTCAGCATGGTGCAGGGCACACTGCACTGGTTTTGGAATCTGCTGGAGTTAGGTTCTACTTCTGGTGCCATTACCTACTACACAGGTGGTGATGGAAAGTTATTAGAAGGTGATGCCAGGGGGATTTGAAGTAATCAAGTAAAACATCAGACAGGGTGCCTGAGAATTAATAAGGTGCTCATATGGTAGGTCTTACGCTTTTTAAAAAAACAGTACTGTCAAAATGATTTATTGTCTCTTTTGTTCATGAATTTGTTTCTTTGCACTAATTAGCGGGATGGCATCTAGGTGTATAGTTGCATGTCCCTTTTCCTGCTGACACCATGATTATTTTTATCCAGCAAATACTGAGGGGCTGTTATGTATGTGTAAAGCTTTGTTTTAGCTGTGGGGAATACAAATTGAAGAATTAGCAGTTCTGCCTGAGCTTACGCTCGTCTGGGTGGCAGAGCTGTGTGCAAGTAATTCAAGCGGGAGTGAGCCAGAGCAGAGTGAGTTGCGTGCAGAATTAGCCTTCTCGAAGTCCCGAATGCCAACATGTGTCATGTTGTAGGATCTGCTTCAAAATCCTGTGGCAGTGATAGTGGCTCGCCCCTTGGTGCACAGCCCAGGGGGGGCTCTCCTTTCCATTCCCTGAGCCTCACTCCCAGGCAGGCCAGACTCTCAGCACTTGCTGGCGACACCGTCATGGGGACTTCCTCACCTCCCCTCGCTCCCACCGCTTCAGCTCCCAGTCCTGCTTCACGGGAGGTCGGGGTATTCTTTTGTGCGCACATCTGTTTGCGTGTCTCTACCCAGACAACCAGGATGTGGCTGTCTAGTCTCTAAAAATATTTTTTTACGATTTTGTATTGCACTGTTTTCCGTTTATAACACACATACTTATTTATATTTTTAAAAAACTCTTTATAAATATTCTTTTTAATGGCTATGAATATGGTACTTGGTACTTTTTTCATTTTTTAAACACTGGAGACAGCACTGAGTGTGAGCGAAGTGTACGTGAATTCATTATCGTCTCAGAAAATTCACACACGGTGTGTTTATTTCAGATTCTTCCGTAGATGTTCTCATATTTGATTTATATGATTATAATTTTCTACGAATTCTGGGTATTGGGTTATGGACTACAGTAATTCTCAAATGTATTTGGTCCTCTCCCTCCATACCTCGGGCCTGGTCGTTTCCTCCTCAGCCCGGTGAACGAGGCAGCATTTTCATCTTATCAGTGAGCAAGCTGCTGCACAGGGGTTGGAGTAATTTCCCCCAGTTATGAAATTAGGCCGTGTAGGAATTAGATTTGAGCCCAGATTTTCTGACTTCAGATCGACTGCCCCTTCTCCCACTGCGCCCCTGTTCTAGGGTGACAGTGATTCTGCCTGCAGAAGAGAGCAGTGAGGTGTAGCCACCAGAGCCTGGAGCCAGGAGCACGTCTAGAAGCACGGAACTGGGAGACCCTGTAGAGCTGCCAGAGCAGGCTTCTACTCTGGGTCTTCTGCTGCCTTCCATGAAGGTGTCTCTTGGCCATTCAGTAACTAAATTCCACTGGCCTGTTTGGAAAGTGGAGCTGTCTTAGGCTGAGTGCTGTTACACGGTACCAGTGATCTCTAGTGAGGACTGTTGGCCAGAACGTGGTACAGTGTTGTCCTTTCCTTTCGGTAAATTCTAGTTACAGGAAATGTGGTAGATGTAGAGGTATTTATAGTTGTAAATACTCCTGTTTAAGATGTAGGTACTTTCGGAGACTTTGAGCGGTATTGAAGAAAGGGAGCCTAAAGCTCTGTGTTTGCCTTCCAGCGGCTAGCAAGTCCTGTGCCATTATGTCCACGCACATCGTGGCCTGCCTGCTCCTCTACAGACACAGGCAGGTATGTCTGCGGTGTCCCCTGCACTCGAGGGGAAGCGTGCGGATGCCTTGTCAGCTGTTCAGAGCTTGTTCGTGAATGGACATGGCCCAGTCCTGGCTTGTGCTTCTGAGATAAGCAGTAAAATAAGCCAAGCACCTAGCCCACGGGGGCTTCCAGATCCGACGGAGGAAGACGTCTACGTGAAAAAGCTCCAAGCCTGCATAACGTAGACGACAGTAGGACATTTGAGTACTATAGTTCACGTAAATAAGGCCTGTTGCGTTGATGTGCCATAAGTGTTTTGACAGCTGATGACAGCTATTTGACTTATATTTAGGGCCACGTTCCCTTCATGCACTTGTCTAAGTGCTGTGATGGGAAAGACCGCATCTGTGCCATTCACAGTCATGTTCTCAACACCAAACATAGTGCCTACGTGTGTGTGTGTGTGCGTGTGTACACATACACACACGTATGTACACACATATACACATGCATGTGCACACACATACACGTATGCACACGTATGTACGCACGCACACATATACAACACACGCATGCACACACATGTATGTAACACACATGCACACACATACACATGCACATATGTACACACATCTACACATACATGTATGTACATACATATGTAAGCACCAACTAAGTAGTTGTCAGATGAATATTTAAATATTTAAAATGAGGGAAATTGGGGCGCCAACTAGGTGACTCAGTCGATTAAGCGTCTGCCTTTGGTTCAGGTCATGATCACAGGGGTCCTGGGATTGAGCCCCGCATTGGGCTCCCAGCTCAGCGGGGAGTCAGCTTCTCCCTCTCCCGGCTTGTGCTCTCTAGCTCTCTCTCTCGAATAAATAAATAAAATTGTTTAAAAAAAAAAAAAGGGGGAATTACTGCTTAAAACGTAAGCAGTTCTTACTTTTAGATGGCTTCTTCTGCCCTTTGTGATCTTACATGCTCCTGTCATGTGTTGTGACCCGAGCATTCTCTCTGGATGTGAATATCTTAACCTTCAGGAGGACCAGCTTTTTCACCAGTTTTCTGACATCTCGTGTCCTAATATTCTGGCCCTTTCTCTCTGTGCCAACAGTAGGCTGCAGGAAAGCCAAGGCAAGACCTAAAATCCTCAGAATGCCTCTTGGCCTTTTGGGAGGCAGGTTTTCCACTGTTGCGAGACCATTTCTGTCTGTTTCTCCAGGGCATTGATCTCTCCACATTGGTGGAGGACTTCTTTGTGATGAAGGAGGAAGTTCTGGCTCGTGATTTCGACCTGGGCTTCTCAGGAAACTCTGAAGATGTAGTCATGCATGCCATACAGCTGCTGGGAAATTGTGTCACGATCACCCACACCAGCAGGAACGATGAGTTTTTTATTACCCCCAGCACAACTGTCCCGTCAGTCTTTGAACTCAACTTCTACAGCAATGGCGTGCTCCATGTCTTCATTATGGAGGCCATCATAGGTACGGCCTGCCCGGAAGTAGCTTCGTGGGAGGGAAAAGAGCCTAAAGCACATGGTGGTGTCTGTTGATTTAGATCGTAGCCCCTTGTTGGAGGGGTTGTGTTGCTATATCACTATAGCTTATTTTTTACATTTATTAATCAATGAGTAGTTACTGAATTACAATTTGCGTAGTATTACGCTTATTACTGAGGAGGAGAGGGAAGGTGTTCGGCTCTCAGGAGCTGGAAGTCTGAGTGAGACAAGAAAGTGCACATGGCAGTAAGGTGAGTGTAGGGTGTGAAGAGGGAGCAGAGGAGAAGAAGAGCAGGAGGGACCGAAGCCCCTGAGGGAAGGGGTTAGATGGAGTTGGGATCACATGGAATCATGAGGAGTGAATCCTGAAGGGATTTAGTTAGGTTTTTCTCCAGTGAATGCAGGTAATTCTTTTTGATGTGTTCACAATCTATTAAGGTAATCCAAGTTTTCTGAGCTAGTTGAAGTTTTTCTTGGAGCTGTAAGGCGGCCGGCCTCAGTGATGCTTTTCTCTCCTTAGCCTGCAGCCTTTACGCAGTTCTGAACAAGAGGGGCTCGGGAGGGCCTGCGGGGCCGTCCCCCAGCCTGATCAGCCAGGAGCAGCTGGTGCGGAAGGCCTCCAGCCTCTGCTACCTGCTCTCTAACGAAGGCACCGTATCGCTCGTAAGTGGACTCTTCAGTGCCGCCTCTTGTCTTTTCTAGAGAATTTTTATGAAAACATAAGCCACCTTTGTTTTTCTCTCAGGGAATGTTTGGTCTGTTACTGAAGCTTTACATAATACTCCTGAGTCTCAGTGACTCTCAGGCCAATATGTTGTTTGCTAACTTTGTTTGCTGTTGGGGTCACTGCTCCAGTGAACCCTTGATGTAGTTATGAGGTGTGATAGGACAGATTGCTCAACATGCTCCATGAGTCAGAGCCAAAGTTACTGAGCTCTTATTGTACATACGGCACTGGGTCAGAGGCTTGTAAATAATTAACATGCCCAGAACGTAAGAGCCAAAACCAGTCTTAAAAATCATCTCTTCAACCCCTGTCATTTTACTAATGGGAAAACTAAGGCCCAGCAGGGCTGATGAGCATTTATTTTATATTCTAGCACTTTTAGACATTCATAATTAGGCATAGGTATTCAGCAATAGATTTTTTTCCTCAAAATCATCAACAAATAGTATCCCTATTCTATTTAAAGTCTAATACTCTCACTCATTTGAATGTGTCCTGGGACATTTGTGCCTGCTTGTATTGTGAGTACGGCCCTCCACAGCATTCTTTGCATATGGTATATTGTCACCCTGTTGGGGAATCTGTTTTGCATGAACCTTGGGGGGCAGGGCAGGATGGGATGGGGTGGATAGAGCTCCCAAGATTGACTGTGTCCTTTTCCTGGGTCATTTTTGAGTTACTTGAATATTTGTCTCCTCCTCCACCACCTCTCTGTACAGCGTTTACCGTAAGGTGCATTTGCAGGGAAATTGTCTTATGATGGACAAGAAATCGGCAGTAGGGGCCTGACGAGCAGCCCTTCTGAGGACCGGCTCCACCCACTCACTGGGTGCTCTGCCAGACACAGAACGAGGGCTTTTCTTGGGCATTGCCCTTGACCATGCATTTATCAAGAGGGTGGGCATTGGGAATCTTAGGACTTGCCCAGTAGAACGAGGTAGTTGATATGGAAGCATTTGGCGGTTACTTTGTACAGTGTTTTATGTCTATAAAAGGGTCAGTGACGGGGCGTCCAGGTGGCTCAGTCGGTTAAGCGTCTGCCTTCGACTCAGGTCATGATCCCAGGGTCCTGGGATTGAGCCCCATGTTGGGCTCCCTGCTCAGCAGGGAGCCTGCTTCTCTCTCTCTCTCTCCGCCCCTCCCTGCCCCCACTTGTGCTTTTTTTTTCCTCTCTCAAATAAATAAAATTGTTTAAAAAAAAAAAAGTTCAGTGACATTTATATTTAAATGCCTTTTCTTTTCAGCCCTGCCAGACGTTTTACCAGATTTGCCATGAAACAGTAGGAAGGTTTATCCAGTATGGCATTCTCGTAGTGGCAGAGGTAAGAGGAATGGCTTTCCTTCATTTGCCTTTATTTAGTTTGCTCTTCCTTGTCTTTTCTACCAATTATTTTAATCAGTGTTACAACTGATTATTTTAGACAATAATTACATTTGAAATGTAGTCAAGTCCACATGAAGAGAAAAGAAAAGTAAGAATAGGGAAAGTAAGACATCTTTTGGGATTGTTTTTAATATTTTGGTTTCTTTTGTGTAACTGGTGTTGTCTAGAACATATCTTGATTCCGTGATACCTGAAAGTTTTCATTCCAAGAGGAGATGTTTCACATATGCGCATGCTTGTAGCTTGCACACACACATTTTTCTCTTTTGAGATTTTAATTTTTGTCGATTTAGTGTAGCGGGTATGGCTTGGGGAAGTAGAAATTAGGTTAGAGGAGGTGAGGGTATCTTTATTTGCTCTGTCTGGTAGCTTCCCCCCACTACCTCTTCCTTTCTTTCTTTCCCTCCTCACCGTCTCCCGAGTGACTCTGAGTTTGGAGCCGGAGGTGGGTTGACACTGAATGGCTAACAGAGAGGAGTAGGGAGGCAGGGAGAGGGGCTGCTGGCCTGCCGTCCAGGCACGCAGATGTCCGTGTGCCCATGCCTGTTTATTTCCTGTTCGCCATCTCTTTGGCATAGCAAGATGACCAGGAAGATATTAGTCCTGGTCTTGCTGAGCAGCAGTGGGATAAGAAGCTTCCTGAGCCTTTGTCTTGGAGAAGTGATGAAGAAGATGAAGACAGTGATTTTGGTGAGGAGCAGCGAGATTGCTACCTGAAGGTACTTCGGTGAAGAATTCTGGTGGACATTACAGGGAGGAGTTGAGGTTTTTGTTGCCCCTAGTTAATGAGGTTCTTAGAAACTGAGCCTCCGCTGACTTATTCCCATTTCTGGCACCCATAAGCCAACTGTGGTCCTTTCTGCCTAATAAAGACACTCAAATGTTGGAGGTGAGCGAATACCCCCAATTGCTCAGTTTGGGTGCAGGTAACGGAAAAGGAAGCAAAAGTGCAAATTTGGGAAGATAAGTATTGTGAGTGAGACCCTTCCTGACCCTCTCCTCACAATGCCCAGGGTGCAAACCTATTTGCCCACACCTACGTTCCCTCCTGAAGAGGCAGGACTGTGTTCAATCGCCAGCAAGACCAGGCGGTGCGGGCCCAGGGTGGTGGAGGGATCACTCCTCAGCTGCCATGTCCGGTGGCTCTTTCAGAGTGCTGCTCAGTCTTGCCAGTCCTCCCCAAATTTCTTACCTTGAGCCCTTTGCCTTCAATTAAAACAAATCTCATCACAGGAGAAACTTTAGATGTTTAAAAGATAGATTGTCCCTGATTTGTAATTTTATAAGTTAATAATGACCCATTTTTTCTGAATACCTTAAATGGATTACTCTAGAATACCCCTGATTTACACACACACACAGTTAGGAGGTGTGACTTCTGGAGAGTCTGCCTGGCCTTTTTGGGTGTGATCAGCCATGAGATGGGGCAGTGAGAGCCCCCGCTGCCACCTGGCACCCCATCGCCACGACCGCCACTCCCCACTGTGCCAGAATGTGGGCCAAAGGCTGCGTGGGGTGGCAGGAAGTGAGGGCTGGGGAGGACTGAGGTGACCTCGGCGTCTTGCCATGTGCCCTCTTTTCACACTTGAGCGAAACCCGGGGGCGTCCAGCCTGGGGACCAGCTATGCTCAGTGGTGACGATACGTCAGTCAAGTATGCCCGTTTCTTCCAGGCAGCTGTCCAGTGAATGCAAACCGCAGATACTGTAGAAAACAATGACCCCAGTGCAGGGCCCATTTCAAAGCCAGAGTCCTTTTCAGCAGAGGGCCTGTGCCCAGGGAGCGGCAGGCTGCTTCCGTCTGCCCCAGGGCCGGCCTCTGCGGAAGTTGCTGTGTCAGCGTGCTTGTTCTCCCCCCTTCTCGTGGCCTCATCCCCCACTCTTGCACTCCCAGGTGAGCCAGTCCAAGGAGCACCAGCAGTTCGTCACCTTCTTGCAGAGGCTCCTCGGGCCTTCGCTGGAGGCCTACAGCTCCGCCGCCATCTTCATCCACAACTTCAGTGGCCCGGTTCCCGAGCCTGAGTACCTGCAAAAGTTGCACAAATACCTGATCACCAGAACAGAAAGAAGTGTTGCCGTATATGGTAGGCCTGTCGCTGCTTCGGCTTCTTTTAAAAGCGCTGCCTTTTTTGACGATAGGTAGACCGTAGGGAAGAAATGCAGAATTATCCCCACCTCTGGCTTCATAGATTCCTGTTGTCTGTTTCGGGATGTTCTGTAAATGGGACGATACAGTGCTGTACTCTTGTGTGTGGCTTTTTTCACTTAACGTGGTAAGTGAGAGTCCGGCATGTTCGTGCATGTGGGTGGTGGTTTATTCTTGTTGCTTTACAGTATTCCCACATATAAACATCCACTGCATTTTATTTATGCCCATCACTGAGGGATGGTTGGGGTGTCTGCACTTGAGAGCTGCCGTGACTGGTGCTGCCATGAACGTGTTGAAGGCGTCGGCACGAACCTATCTGTGTGTAGGAGTAGTGTTGCCTGTCAGAGCCTCTGTGGGCCCCGCAGGTGGTTCCTTGTGGGAAGGGGCGCCCGTCTGCACTCCGGCTGCGGTGTGTTTCCGGGGCTCCACCTCCGGCCCTTGCTTGGTCGTGATAAGAGGTGCGACTGGGGTGGGAGCAGCGTTTTATACAGTGTTGGCTTAGGACCAGAACTGCTTGGAATCCAGACTCTTTAGAGCCTAAAGGGCTCTAGAGATAATTTCTCTCTAGACATTCTCTCCATATCCATGTAGACCTATATGGTTCTAGATTTCTCTCCAAATAGATAGATAGATATCTGGAGAGAAGTCACCCACTTTATAGATGAGGAAATTATCGTAGATCACACAGCCAGTTAATGGGCACACGTGGGTTCAGCACTCTTTTTCCGACCTCTAGATTTGTGCTCTTTCCGGTTCCACTGATACAGGACTCATCTGTGCATCACTGTGCAGTTTAACAGAATTTCTGCCCACTGTCTTGTTTGCTTCTCTCAAAAACCCGCCGACCTGGATGTTGCAGGTGTTTCTCCTTCTCTTCCTTTCTCTCGTTCCCTCCCTTCCTCTTTCTGTCTCTCTTCTTGCTCTTTTTGCCTTAAAAGATGACAGAATAGGTTTAAAGAAACAGCAAGTCCTGTGAGACCTCCCAGGTCACCGGTGGCAGGAGTGAAGCTGGACCGGAGTCTGCCGACTTGCTCAAACCCTCTCCAGGGCCTCCCACACTTTGTTGCTGTGGATGTTGGGGTTTACGTGTTAGCCGGGCATCAGCTTTTGACAAGGTCTTATGCTTTCCCTGCAGCTGAGAGCGCCACTTACTGCCTCGTGAAGAATGCTGTGAAAATGTTTAAGGATATTGGGGTGAGTCCCCACCGCTTATGGTAGGAAGGCGTGTGTTACCTTCTCGCTCTGCTCAGATCTCGTCTGTTTGAGCCACCTGCATTTGGGGCGGGCCCTGAGAAAAGCAGTTTCTGCTGGACTGATCATGAGCACATTTCTGGGGATTGGAAAGGGGACGGGCATGTTGAAGGTGAGGCCCATGAGTACAGATTTATTTGAATGTTCCAGAATTTTCCTGGTTTTCACCTTCATCCCCAAACCATTTACATATCACAGGTGGCAGTGTGTTTCAACATGCTACTGCAGTTTTTGGCCAGGATGTTAGTTATGTCACATGATCTTCACTTACTGTATTTCTACCAGTATTGCTGGAAGTTTCCTCCGGTGTATTGTACTCCATGGCCTTTGTAAGGGACTCTTTGTGACTTTGTTTTAACGCGGATTTTAAAGTATAATACGCTGATTGGACTCTACTCAAAAAAACACCACACCTGCATCCGTAGCCCTACTCGTGAACACCCACATGTCTGTTTACTTAAAGCCAGGATACGGTTTTATGTGCCTTGACTGCCTTTTGGGGTCTAGGACACAGGTCAGGGCTGGTGGCAGAAATATCTTCTTGTTTTGGTTTGTCTTTAATTTCAACTTTCTCTCTAGGTTTTCAAAGAGACCAAACAAAAGAGAGTGTCTGTTTTAGAACTCAGCAGCACGTTTCTACCTCAGTGCAACCGGCAGAAACTCCTCGAGTACATTCTGAGTTTTGTGGTGCTGTAGGTTACTCCTGGCACCTCTGGCAAGTGGAGGGCATCGGACGAGTCCCTCGTAGGCTCCAGCCTCTGGCTTGAGAGCTGAAGGTGCCGGCATGTGGGCAGGTTTGGCCTGTCCTGCTGTGACGTGCTGGAAGACAAGTGCCTTCCCCTCCACGGGGCTGTGCTGACCCCTACTCCGAGATGACACTGCAGCCTTCGTGTGACGCTTGGGGGCCCCCCGGCTTCCGCTTGCAATTCATCGTCAGTAGATGACACAATGAAATCTCAGAAAGTTATTCTGGAGTTTATTAAAGATTTCCCTTTTAAGTATAACCGTTAAGGACTAAATTACTGTGATGGGCACAAAAATGTAGATTCATTCTAGAACCGAATCTTATATAGTATTCTTAATACCGTCGGATAATTTGTCGGTATATTTTCTGATTAATGGTTAATGCTTCCTTTAAACGTAATTGAGTCATCCGTTCACTGTTTTGTTTTTGTTTTTTCAGTTTTACCTTTGTCAATAGTAGCTAAATTTTAAAGGGGACACCTTTCATCCCAAAGTGCTTTACAAATGAATGGGCTGATCTATATCACACCCAGGTATCACTGTGCTGTCCTTTGCGGTCAGATTTAGAAAGTGTTTGAAGAGCTACATGAAAACACAATATTAGTTTAGGTCAGAAATAGAGCTAATGTGATCAAAAAGTCAACATCAGGAGGTAAATTTGGCCGGCAAAATTCAAGGTAAACTTGGCCAGAACACTGACTTTGAACTTTTGCTCATATAAAAAAGTGCCATTGAGTTTTAAATGACCAGCAAGTATTTAGGAACGACTCCTGTTTTATGTCTGTACCCCTTCCCACCCCTCAGGTGGCACCTGCCTCTCCCAGGTACAGCTGTTTCTTGGAGATTCTCCAACCAAACAGCAACTGTCCTAGCTTGATTAGCTTGGCCTGATAGACTGGGTGAGCGGAAAGTGCTGTGGCTGGAGGCTGCTGACCCAGGGCTCTCATGCACTGTGTACAGGTTGTGCACTGCACCCAGTCCACATGACTGGTGCCCGCTCGAGTTGTGTGATGTACAACCCGTGTGCCATATATGTGGGAGCCCTACGGACTGCTCCGGGGTTGGAGGCAGTTATGGATTTTTAGCTGTGAGGAAAAACCATGGTTTTTAACAAATACATATGGGTTATGTGCCTAAACCCTGATGTCACATAGTGGCAAATTATTATGAAAAATTGTTCATAATGGGTAGGTGCCTTCTTATGAGGAGGGAGCATAACTGTTCATTGTGATAATTGTGTGATTTCATAAAGATCATGTGATGTTAAAATATTTTCTAACAGCTTGTTGTTCCTTCTCTCCATGGTATTATGGAATTAGGTATTTTTCCTGATGAATAGTGCATATAGACTTTGAATTTGAAAGTACTGAGAATTAAGTTTGTACCTTTATAAGCTGGGATTTGAAACACTAATGGTAGCCCATGAATATCCTGTGTGTGTCGGGAGAAGGAAGGGGACTGATCGGTACTTCACGTCGTATGAAAGATCTCGTTTGAAACTCATAGCAATAATGCTGTGCTGTTGTGAGCTTTTTCCAGTCTTCTCAAATTCCATGCTTAAGACCTCTCTGTTCTCTATAGGAATTCGTGCACCCTTAAGCCATTGTCGTGTTGCTGCGGCTCTAGCGCCGACAAGGTCTCCGCCTGGTAGCACTCCTTGCACTGACGGGGACAGAGGAACAATTCTTCTGTTGGCCAGAGCCCTGCACGTGGGGGACACCCAGGGAGACTTCGTTATCCCCGCGGGTGTTCCTTTTCCAGGCGGGCAGTCACTGCACTAGTCTTGCTCATTCTCCCTCTCACTTATGGATCGAGGATTGCCCGAGCACTCTCTCAGTTACCCGGGAAGTGAAGGTTGGGACTGCCCTGCCCGTGGCTTCCACTAAGCGCTCCTGCTGAGTCAGCCTGAGCAGGGCACAGTGGCTGCCCTGGCTTCATCTTCCTTTCCAGTTGTTTTCTAGAAATATCATCAGATGCTTTGGGGAATGCAATGTATGATTTGCTAGCTCTCCCGCAACTTAACTCACTGTGAGAATAAATATGCATGCTTTTTGTAATTAACTGGTGCTTTGAAAACCTTTTTTAAGGAAGAAGAATCTCAACCAAAGTTATGCTCATCCAGACAAGCTGACCCGGGGTTAATTTTAGCACAACTCATTCTTCAGTGCCTCATTACTGAAAAACAAACATACGTCATCACAGTAAGGCTTCCAGATAGCACTGTTTTTGCTTAAAGATTTATTCTCACTGTTTTCTAAAAGCGAATGGCTTCCATGTAAGATGATACAAACTAGGTGCTTGTAAATAATTTATTACAGTTTACTCTACTGCATTTCTCTAAAACTGAAATGCATGCCCTCCAGGGGAAGACTGTGAGTCAAATTAAAAAACAAAATCCAATAATAAGCAATATGAATCTGCACGCTTTCCAACTGAGAATATCCTAAGTGATTTCAGAAAAGAGGAAGGATTTTTTGCTCCCTTAATTTCAAGAAAAGCAAAGGGAAGGAACTTGTGTGAGACGCATAGAACTAGTAATAACAGGGAAAGTACTCCCAGGTCTTCCTTCTCAGATCTGTTCAGTCTCTCGAAGTCACGAGGATGAGTGGAGAAAATACATCAGGGATTGCCATGAATGTAAACTCAGATTGTGGAACTTCTAGGCACCTGAAGGGGAAAAGCATTTCCCATGGTTCTCCGAGAATGCAATCTCTGTGCTCTGTGAGATGTTCACAGGTGTTTTGTAGAAGATGTGTCGCTGGTACGATAAATGTGTACGTGGATCCTCTTTTTTAGAAACTCAACAGTGCACTCTGGCATGGCGTGGGCTCAGGGCGTGCCAGTCCCAAGCCTGTTTAACCCAGCATTTCCAAACTGTTGTCACCCCAGGACCTCTGTCCCCCTTGGTATCCCTATGAGCCTCTCACTAGTATGCCATGGAAAACATTTTGGGAAACACTACATTAGGTAGTTTTTTAAGGGGACAAAACAATATGAGATGGCATGGAGGCAGAACTTGCATGCATTTTGTACAATCACCTGTTACAGTTAGTGGATGTATGCCTCCCCCCCCCCCCCGAGACGATAAGCACAGAAAACTCATATAGGCGGTCAGGTCTCTTTGATGGAGAGATCGGCCGTCCATGATCCTGGGTTTTTCCCTGAAAGTAATAAAATTAACACAAGGATTAACTGGGGTAAATAATTAAGGTTTTAATTCAGATCTAGAAGAAAGTACTGCACAACTGAATGCAGATTTTTATCCACAGATCGTTCTAGTGTTTAGAAATGGTAAGACCTATCATTGAAGTTTATAAGACTTAATTTGGATGTAAATCTGTTTTTTAAAACACTCTTTTTAGGAACTTGAGACTTGGCATCTGGCGTTCTAGCTTAATACAAACTAATGATTGCATTTGAAAGAATTTTGACCTTATTTCTAAACATCTAAATCTCTGAAATGCCTTGATGGAAGGTGTTATTTTCCTGTTGTACAAAGAAATGTTAAATTGTTGTAAAAAGAATTACTATAAAGTACTGTGAAATAATACTGTGTGATTTTGTGAGCGAAACTTATTTGGAAATGTTGATTGATTTTTATGCCTGTTAATGTATTGTAAGAAGCACAGAAGTGTAGTTTTGTTTTAATAAATCAAAAAATGAATATATTCTTGATGTCTTGCATTTGTAGTTAAAATTCCTGACATAATTCATTAGACAAACAATTGTTCTTGTTTGACTTTACATAGAACTTTATTAAAATGCTTATAGGAAATAATCTTACATAAATGCATGAGCTTGCAGTGCATGGTTTTATTACTGATCCATAGCTCTCCAAATTTGATCAAGCATTCGCTCTCCTTAGTAAATATTCACATTACAGAGATATACTTTGAGTTTCTGTCAAGATTCCTTTAAACTTGGTGCTTCTGTCCTATTTTTATGTGCTGAAGTGTTAGGTTTTTCCCACCAGTTCATAATAGTCGCCCAAAAAATATTAGTTGACTTTTTTGACAAGTAAGGCAAGTATTTTCTTACAGCACTATTTTCTGTGGATCCTTTGAAATCACATAAATGCAGCCTTCTCAAGAAGAGTGTGCCCTCTGGAAAGGGAGTGAACAGGTGCCTGGCCATGCTGTCCATGTCCTTTGGGTACGTAACATGGCTGTGAACCTGACATTCAAGACCATCCCATCTGTTCTCCACCACACCCTCTATCTGAACTTTGTACTTTTCCCCCTCTGGTTTGCTCTGGAAGATTGTTGCCAGGACTATGTCCTTGCCCTCTGGTGCATTCATTTCTTTCTTTTTAGCAACTCTTGCTGCGGCCAAATGTGACCTTCCCTTTATCAAACAAAATTCCATTTTTTACAACCACTCACTCTAAGTGGATGTTCATTTTGAAGGCTAATCTCTTAATGTTCAGTTCTGCCCACTCATTTCAGTCCTGTTTATTCCCTTTTTTAGCAACTGGCAGTCTGCTCTACACACACATCTAGTAAAATTCTTGTGTCCCTCCTTGGCAAATACAAAGGCGTTTTCCTGGTGGTTGTCCACAGCCCTTGTGATGTCCATACCGCAGCCTGGCCTCTCAGTGAGATGCTGCTTCTGCCCTTCTAGCTTCCCTGGCCCTCTGGTCTTCTGTCTCCATCAGAACTCCACCTTCTCCAGCTTTTCCTTGCCTCCCACCCCTTATCAGATGGTCCTGATATTGTTGCTGGAGCCTCTGAGTTAAAAAAATCAATTTTGTCTGAAATCTATTTTTAGAGGAAGGAACCCAATTTTCATGTGTCAGTGCAACAAACGATGTGATCATGTACACTGGCTTGCTGGGCCCTTTTCTGTCTCATCAGCGGCCAGTTCATGCCTTCTGGCCTGGGAGACAGCGGCTATGAAAGCATCAGTTCTAGAATGCTCCTTCCAGGAGCCAGAGGGCAATCCGTTGTTGGAAGAAGGTTGACCTTGCTCATCCGAGTTAAGCAGGGACGAGGTCTCAAAGCAAAACTTTGATGAGGACCACTGGGTAATGTTTAACCAGGCAGGCCGTGGGCATCTGAGTCAGCCTTTGATGTCGGGCTCATTGCTGTGCCCACATCAAGGAAGGGGTATGTCAAAACAAGCCAGGGTTGCACCTGTCAGTGGCCTTGGTACTAGGGCCAAAGCTACTTCTGGCAAGGAGTGATGAGAATAAGTGCACAAGCTCAATTTCTAGCCTTCTGGGAAAATGTCTTGCCACCTTCCCATTGCAGGTCAGTTGAAGATTAGAAAGAAAAGAATCCATACAGGGACCCCCTCAAACACCTTTTAAAGTCCTTAACTCACATAGCCAAGATAGAGAACTTCGTAGAAGTGGCATGCCTACATAAGGCAAGAGCAGATGTAGATAACCTTTCCCCTTGCTTCCTTTTGGGTTCTTTATTGGTGGGCTGATCCTATACCTAGACCCCCATTTGCCTGCCATGGTCCCTTTGCTTACACAGAGTTGAGCGGGAAGAGAGCCTCTGAGGTTGAAGATGGCTAAAATTGGCTGCCATTTATTGTGTATCTGTCATGGTGCAGAGCCAGAACTCAGCAGTGATTGCCATAGGTGTCGGAGGAGGTTATCCAGAGAACGTGACCTCCTGTCGACCCGCAGGCTGGACCAGGGCAATGGGAGCCGCCTCACCCAGCCCCTGTACATTTCGCCTGGGATGTACATTTCGCCTACTATTTCCGCCCTAGCAGCCATTTCAAGGAGGTAGTGCTGAGAGAGGAAGGAGTTGTTCAGATCATCTGGAGGGCTTCTGTGACGGAACCCAGTGAAGGTCTCTCAGTGAACTTTTAAGATTCCGGTGTGGAGATCTGTTTGTCTTGCCACCGCCCAGGACAAGCCTCATAAGTAAGTTCCCTTGCTTGTTTAAGGCTGCCACCTACCCATCTGGAGTGGTCTGCCTCTTTCTTTGGTGTCTCTTTGCCCTTAGTGTACAAGGGCCAGTTTGTGAAGGATCATAAGATAGTAT